TCTGATGTAGGTCACTCCATGCTCACCTCCTGTCACAGCAGATGATGCTCCTCCAGTCCCATAGAGTTGTGAACCAACAAAATGTTCTGTTATTTCCAGATTGTCCTTTTTTAATGTAGGATAAAACAACATTACAGGTCCTCCTCAGGGGAAAAGAAAATGCATGGAGAAAGGCATGTGCAGCCACATTCCTACATTCTCCCTCTTTGTTTAACAAATGGTCCCTGGGCCAACTTGAGCATGTGAATTTCTTTGTGGGAGAAGACAAATGTGCTTTTAGACAATCCTGGCCTGAGACAGATTGATGCCACTGCAAAATATTTTTAATCCAGATGAGGTTTCTGTGTGGTGAGTCAAGAGGTATTTGCTGTGTCACTTGGGGGAAAAAGGTACAGGAAAAGGTCACGGGCTCAGAGCAAGGTATAAAAGCAGATGGGCATCTTTCCTACATGAATTAAAGGGAGAGATAGGCTGCCCAGGGAAGTGATTGGGTCACCATTCCTGAAGGGATTCAAAAGAACACAGGCCACCACCACTAGAGCAGCTGGCAGAGATTTTCTGGCAATTAAACTGCAAGGACAGATCCCCAATCAGCCTCCCTCATGACCTGAGCAGTGCCAGTGGGATGGAATGAGACATGAACAACTTGGAGATAGCTCCTTGTGAAGAGAGATTCTCTTCAGTAGGAGGAGGACTACCAAAATCTCTCCCTTTAATAAAAGCACTTAGAATAACTTTATTTCATATTAAGATGCAGTGCTATATTTAATTCTGTGTCTATTTTGAATGCTTTGAGTGCTTCAGAAGAGAAAAAAATGTGACAAATATCGATGCCAGGTGCTGAAATTATTGTTTTGATTGTCATACTGGACTTGGGGTGAATTCTGTACCCACACAGGGCATATATCCTGTTGAACAAATGAGAATGGACCTGAGTGGGGTTAAAGCCTTGTTTCTGCCTTCTCTCCAACTTTTCAGAGCTCTGGGAGGCACAGGACAAACTGTGAGTTTTTGTGGGACCTCCTTCAAGTCATGCTGGAAGTGGCAGGACTGTCCCAGTCCCACTGTCCTGGTGTTTTCACAGGGCTCTGAAGGGCAGAGGCATCTGTAGGTGGTTTTAATGTGGTAAAAGCTCTCTCATTAATTGAGATCTCTCTCAAATACCTCTAATCTCTCCTTGCAGGGGTTTGCATGAAAATACTTTGGGAATTCTGTTTGAAACAGCAGCTTCAGGTTAAGAACTCTGGGTAGAACAGGAAGGTTTCAGAAGAGGCCAAAGGAGATGAGTTTTATAGGATCCAGCAAGTTTTCTGCAAGTTGTGAGTGCTTTTGAAATGACAGCAGACTATTAGCAAAGGCAGCTCTGTCAGGAAAGGCTTTGACATCAGCTGCATTTAGGGCACGTTGTCAAAAAAGTTGCAGGGATGGTTTCTAACCTTTATGACTCTCGTTACAGTGTTCCTTTTAAGGTGAAATTGGGATCTGATTTCTAGCTCATCTCACAGTGAGTAAACCCATCCCCTTTCACCTGGCAGTCCTTTATTGATTTTCTTTCCTTATTACTAATGGTGCTTGAAAAATAACTTGAAGTTTATATCTGTGGCCTTATGCCTGCACTTGCACTATGTCTGCTGTTTTGGTTTTTCTGAAAATAAGCTTTACTGCCTTTCACACACCATCTGCTGCTTTTAAAAAAGGCATTAGGCATGACTTGCCAGATTGTCAATGACTCTCCTTACATCTGCCTGCAACCCTTTCTAAAGCCTCTTGGCCTGTGCTGTCCCTGCCTCCCCAAAAAAATAGTGTAACAGGGCAGATCCTGGAGAATTTGCCACATTTCATGGACAGGTATGTGTATATAAGCTAACACAAGAATGTTTATGGGACCTGCATTAAACATGGCTTTTCAAAAAACATTTGTTTTTGCTGGAAGAAAAATGAAAATAAATGGAGTGCAGAGGCCATTTCTCAGTGGATTGTAACCACTGTCCCTCTTTTGCATCTCCCAGAATTCAAATTTTGGTCAAAATCAGTTTGCAAAACTTGAAATTTTACTGTCTCACAAGCTTGACATGCTCCATTTTGTAAGTGCAAAGAAACACCTGCTTAGCCTTAACATTTTTTGTATGTATATTAACACTTTTCTATCTGCTTCCTCCATGCAAGGATTTGTTCAGATTGCTGCAGTTTAACACATTAGGGCAGCAGCATTTCAGCTTCTCCATCACCATATGTTTTGTAGGTTATTTCCCTCAAACCACTGCAGTTACATCGATGCTGCAACTTCTCAGTTGATTTTTGATTTTACTGCTGATCCCATGCCATTCTATTAAGATTAACAATCACCCTTGGTACTCAGTGGCAGGCAAAAAACCCCAATTTAATTATTTGTGGCATTCCCTGCTGCATGCCAGTGTGCTCCATTTCACTTTTCCAGTGTGCTTGTTACGTTAGGATGAGCTCAGCTGTCACTCTGGATTTTCTATTTCCTCTATTTCCACGTTTTTTGAAGCTCTAAGAAAACCAGGCAGTTCCAACCTGAGCCCTTGCATTGTGCTTCAGCTAAACCAGACTTCACCTTCTTCCACCAGACTCATACATCACTCTCCAGCAACCTACATGAGCTAAACCAATCATCCTAATTAATTTCCACTGAAGTGAAAGGCAGCACAGTGCAGATATAATTTCCCTGAAATCTGTTCAAGGCCTTTTTGTTGTTGTTGTTTCAGTGGAATTCTAGTCATGTTGTAAACCTAAATATTAATTTATTTAATCCATGCCTAGTTCTCCTCATACTCTAATATATTTTTACACATTATAGTTCAGCTGATAGACAGTGTCCTGTTGAGGTGAACACTCACTGCTCTGCCTGGGGATGGACACAAACTCTGTGGCATGGCATGAGCTGGGCTTTAGCAGCCAGGGCCTCTGAAGTATTAAAACCAAACAGAAAATATGCACAAAAAAGTCACCAGCAATGAGGGGAACTTGTCTGTCTCAGGTATGGCTCAACTGTGTTTTGATCCATGTTTGTGTGCAAGGGGAAAGGGATGGTGAGTGGAAGCCACTGGGTAAAAAAAGAGCAAAGCATTTGCCTCGAGTCTGATGGCTTTGGTCAGAGAGAACTGTTGATTTCTACCTGGAAATGTTTAGGGGTGTCAGAGCTGGTTTCTGTAGCTGTCCATGGTAAACTGGGGTTGGAATTAGATGATCTTTGAGGTCCTTTCCAACACAAAGCATCCTACAATTGTATGAAATGGAATTAGTGCTGAGGGAAGAGCTCAGATCCATGAGCCTGGTCCTGATGCAGGACTGGGCACTGCACCAACCTTGGTCCCTTCCATGTGCCCTGGGTGCTGCTCCCACATCTTGCTGCAGTCACTGTGGCCAGCACCAGCTCTGGAGCTGCCTGGTTTGTCTGGTGGCAGGAGTGTTCTCAGCCAGGACACTGTGCTTCCCAAGGGGAGAGGGCTGCCATTCTCCTGGTTTGGGGTGCAGAGGGGAGCAGGGCCCGTGTCCCCAGGCTGGGACATCTGTCCCACTGCTGTCACTTGCTCCCTCCTGGCATTCCTGGACATGCTGCATGCAGACACAGCTTCTGCAAGGAGTTACATCTTCAAATCTGTGTGTGCTGGTGCTGGGATTTCCTGCTTGGGGGATGACATCCAGGACAAGGCAGACCTGTGGCACTGCCAGGGTACCCAGAGGCAGCTGCAGGTAACAAGAACACCCTTGAGTTCACCTCTGAGTGTCTGTGTGCTGCGATGTGCAAAGCTGCAGGGTCCTGGGAGAGCCTTTAGGCACAAGGCACAATTTCCCCAGCAGCAAGGGGAGGTCACAGAAGATTCCTTTCCCCATGGGCTGGGTTTTCCATCTCCATGCTGGTGGCTGCACCTGCCACTTGTGGAAAAGTCCCCTCCTGAGGACTGCAGCCACACTGTGGAACAGAACTCTCTGTGGAGATGGAGAAATGGGAGCGGACAGAGAAGAAATGAATGGGAGGAGGGAGGCTACAAAAAGTCAACAAGTTCACAACTCCCCTTTGATGAGGTTTTTTACAGAAATACTTCATAAAAAAAGGATAATTTTAAGGCAATTGGATCACCTCAAAGCACTTAAAGTCGGCATGACCTTTGGCTTTATTCTTTTTTTTTCCCTGTTCTTGGCTGTTGGGTGAGATGTAGAAATCCAGCTGATCTGTAAGGTAAATTCTCAGTTGCCATGGCAATGTGTCTCGTTCTCGTTCTCAGTTGGAAGAGAGATTGTTCCATGGTGCTATTTCATGTCTAGGGCAAAATTCTTTGGTGGCAGAATTTCTTTGTTTCAGTACATTAATGCTACAACTCTGTGCATCCTTTCTCAGCTTAAGGAAACATGGCTCAGCCTGACATTCTTCTGTAAAAATACAGTTATTTGCATTTTTTTTTTTAGTTGTAAGAACATTCCTTGAGTCTGGAGGTAAATGTTGATCCATTTTGATAGCTTGGGTGCAGCAACATCCTGATGCTGTGAAGTTTCACCATTAAGTGAAAATAAACTGGAATCACTCCACCTTTGCTTCCACGTGGTTTGAACAAACTAAAGTATCTCCTGAACTAGCAAGTCTTATAAAAGAAAAGCAATTTTACAGTACATCCTACCTATAGTGTATATCTTACATATTAGATTTCTACAGATCTCCATGTGCTTTCAGTCATTTCAGATTCAATTCCTAAGGACTGCAAATTCCTAATTTGGATCAATTCTTACTTAAGGCCACAAAAGGAGTTTCTCCTGTTTCTTTTGCTGTCTTTAGCTCTTTGTTTTGTCACAAGCCACCTTCACCTTATTCCTAAGGTGGGGAGCCAAGCAGGCATCCTGGTTTCTGTTGGTGCAGTCTGCAGCAGTGGGACCAGGCTGCCAAACAGTTAGGAAACACAGAGACAGGAGTTAGCCAAGGGTGATACAGCTTGGAGGTGTCACAGCATGGAGAGCTCCTATATTTGGGTAAGAAGGACCCTTTTCTGGTCATGCTCCCCGTTTCAGTTGTGTGTGACCTTCATTGCCTTTCTAACCTACTTGGTTTCACTGAACTCAGCTGGCTCTGCCTCCCAGGGGACGTCACACAAGGGTGCAGCACCTGTGGCACTTTGCACAGCGCTTCTTCTTCTTCTTGGGGTGGAAAATGGTCATGATTGCCTCGTCAAAGACAGTCTTAAGGCCTTTCTGTGTGAGTGCTGAGCACTCCAGATAGCACTGGGCTCCGATCTGAAAGAGAGGAGGGAAAATGAGAGTCAGTATCCACTGTTGGGAGACGCAGTGATGCTGTTCCAGCATCTTCCTACATTTGGAAAGGGGTCAGACCATTTCTCTGTTTGTATCTGGCTGCCTGTGTGGTGAAGGGACAGGCTCATGTGGTCATCCTGAGGAACCAGCATCAACACGAGTATCTCACCACGTGGGGGTGAATGGCTGCAGGAATTCCCTGCACAACCCTCCAGAGAGAGGGGCTGCACCCATGTTTGAGGGCTGGACCAGGAGCTTGGCCTCCTGCCTGTACAGCTGGGGAGGCTTCTGAGGAAATGCTGGGTTGGAGTTGAACCCCTCACATACTTGGCTCTACTCCCCTGAACTGTCACTCTTGTGTCCTGCCTCCTCCTGTCCCAGGGAGCTGCTACCTGGGGAGGTTTCTGAGAATGGGGAAGCATCATTTTGAGATAGGAGTCTCCAGGGTGTGCTGGCATGACACAAACACCCACAGAGGCCTGGGAAAACAGCCTCAACTTATTCAGCAACCTTGTGGCTTATTCAGTTTGTTCTGCTCATGGATGCTCTGATTTTGAGGGCCAGGGACAATAATAGCACCTGCAGCATATAAGGGGACAAGGCCAGGATCCAGAATCCTGCACCCCAGGGCTTGGGGAGTGATTCTGACCCCCTACATTTGCAGGAAAAATGTACAATCCCACAGAAACCTTCTCTGCTGCCTGCAGTGCCACGGATAAGTGGGAATCCAGCTGTCTGTGCTTTTGTAAGGGGTAGGGAGGAGTTTGACAGGAGGTGGCTTGACTGCAGAGAGGGGTTTGCCACATGCATCCCCTGGCAGAACCCTGCACAAGAACACTTGACTTGGATAAAACAGGCAGTAAAATGGGCTGTTTTGGTGCCCATTTGCCACCTGCTGCCCTGTGTTCCTCACATGGAACCTTGAGGAACAAAGATTTTCTTAGAGCTTGGTCATGGCACCTGCCAGAGATCAGAAGTGTTTGGACCATTCTCTCTGACACATGGTGTGATTTTTGGGGTTGTCATGTGCATGCCCAGGAGCTGGACTCATGGACCCTTTTGGGATGTTCCCACTCAGGATATTCCATATTTCAGCTGACACTACAGCAGAAGCTCAGGGGTCACAAGGTGTGCCTGGGCCCAGCCTGTTTGAACAGAGGCTCCAATCTCTGTCTGGGGCCTAGGGGCCTTGGGGGAGCCTTGAAGGAAGGAAACCCAGAGGAAAGCTGGGATCAGTCAGCCTCATGTGGCATCAGAAGAAGCTGTTTTACCTCCTTTGCCAGCTTTACTCCGTGCTCATAGGTGAGTGGTTTCTCCTTCATGTAAAGCAGCCGCGCCAAAGTTTTGGGATCATCCCGGAGGTCAATCTAGGGCAAAATACACAAAATTTGGGCTGTGATTCTTCAGGCAGACACTCATGGCTTTACAGACCCACATCAGGGCAGCTGTATCACTCCTCAACTCAGGTGATACTTCAGAAATGAATTGCACATTTACTTACCTTTTATTTTTCTTTCAGTTTACCATGAATTAGCTCTCCTTTGCAGATTGCTGGGCCACAGCTCAGATGGGAGTGGTACAGGAAAGAACCCCACTGGTGGGGGAAGCTGCAACCCTGCACTGCATCACCCAAACCCCACCCTGACAGACAGACTGACACAGCTCACTCTGGCTTGAAACAAAATCCTTTGTTTCCATGGAAAGCATCAGAGCGAAGTATTCTGGCATTTCAAACCTGTCCATTTTCAGACTGTGTGATCCAAAGGATAATGTTTTTATTTTGAAATGGATATTTTAGATTATTCCAATGTAGAAAACAAAGCCAGTTTTTGAATTATTTGCCTTTCCTGTGGCATGAAGACTTTGGTTTTGACCAGCATTTGATCTGTTTCTCTAATTTGACTTAGCTTACTGTCCAGTGCTCTGACATTTTCCATATGGTTGTATCCCTTCCCTCACAGTCTCTATCCACTCTGTGTCTTGGTAACAAACCCATATTTAAGGCATTTTTATTTGATTGACAGATTAATAGATTTTAAGGCCAAAATAATGGGGTTTGATCATTCACTCTGACAATCACTGTAACACAAGCAGGATGGTGAGTCACCAGTTGTAATGTTGATACAAAAGCATGAAGGGAGGCTACTTCCTTCCCATGTCATCTGGCTGGTTACTCCCATTCTTAAAATTTAGTTTGAAGTTTAGCTTCAGCTACTAGCCACAAACTTTGATGGTTTTTTACCTCCTCATCAGAGACCTGTATGAAAACTTTTCTCCCTCTAGGTATTTATGACACATTAATATACATTTGAATAAAAATATGGGATGAGCTGTGCCAGTCTGGACACCTGCACATTGGATTCCTTTCCCAGTCCCTGAAATTTCCTCTAATGGGAAAATCTGGCTGAATTTCCTATGAGTTCAATAGGAATGCTCAGGAGAGGCTTTACCTGTGTTCCTATGAGGACATAAGGCACGTTGGGCATGCAGACTTTCAGCTCAGGCACCCACTCTTCCTGCACGTTGTGGTAGGAGGCAGGATTCACCACGGAGAAGCAGATCAGGAACACGTCTGTGTTGGGGTAGGACAGGGGTCTCAGCTGGTTGTAATCCTCCTGCCAGGGGACAACAGCAAGAGTGTCACTGTGACGGTGTTCACAGGGGTCTGAGGATGAGGGAAGAAACAAGGATCTGACTCCATGTTTCAGAAGGCTTGATTTATTATTTTATGATATGTATTATATTAAAACTATACTAAAAGAATAGAAGAAAGGATTTCATCAGAAGGCTGGCTAAGAATAGAATAGGAAAGAATGATAACAAAGACTTGTGGCTCGTCTCTCTGTCCGAGCCAGCTGGGCTGTGGTTGGCCATTGATTATAAACAACTCTCTGAGACCAATCACAGATCCACCTGTTGCATTCCACAGCAGCAGATAATCAATTACATTTTGTTTACATTTTGTTCCTGAGGTCTCTCAGCTTCTCAGGAGGAAAAACCCTAAGGAAAGGATTTTTCATAAAAGATGTCTGTGACAGTCACAAGGAGGGGATGACTGCAAGGGGGGGTGTCTTGTTGAGTTTGATGAAGTGGCCAGCCCTGTCCATATTCATTCACACTTCCCAAGCTCCAGGTGGCTGCTGGAAGGAGGGTGGGAACCACCCTGCAGTGAACAAGGGTGCTGATTTATCAGCATTTTACCAAAAAGAGCTGAAAGATGCCCCATCTCTGGGAGGTGTTCAAAGCTGGATGGGGCTGTGAGCAAGCTGGTCTAGTGAAAAGTGTCCCTATCCCTGGTGAGGTGTGTGTGTGTAATTAGATAATTTTGAAGGTCCCTTCCACCTCAGTCATGCTGTGATTGTGTGAACAGGTCTTGTTTGTGTTGTCTGTGGAGATGGTGGTGCAGAAGGCGATGCTGAACAGTCCTGCAGGGTGCACAGCAGTGTGCCAGCCAGCACAAGACATCCTGAAATCAAAAAGCAGATCAAATCCAGCCTGCAGTACCTGGGTACTCACTGTGGGTGATTTGGTGTTTCCACAGGCCATGCATGGTGGAAGGAGATGTTTTCTCCATAGTGGTGAAGAAGGTGAATTTTCAGACACTCAAATCACAGCTGTGCTATGTCATGAGCTGGCTTTGGTAGCTGAGTTTCAGGGAAGAATTTGGGTCTGTTTTCAGGCTTGAGAAGCTGAGAGCAAGCAGAGGTTTTGCAAGCAATGCGAAAGGGACAGCCTGGCTCTGTCTGACAGTGGGAGCATTTGTAGCTGTGTCTGGTGGGTACTGTTCAATGAAACCTCTTAGAAAACTCCAGTGCAATGAAACAGATGCTTTTTAGAGAGGATGCATCTGCTCCAAAGGCTTTTTTAGGGGTTTCAGAATTAAAAAAGAGGAATGGAACACAAAGCTGGAGTGGGCGAAACAAGAATACATGCTGCTGTCAAGCCTGACTGCAGTGTAGATCTGCAGTTTATAGTTTCTGCATTCTGGACAAGTCTCAAATCTCTGCAGTCTGGTTGATTTTGGTTATAACTGTGTGAAAACTCAGCTGGTGTGATTTGCTTTGCAGATACAGACTAGTTAATAAAAGGAAATAAGGTTAATAAAAGGGGGGAAAAAGACACCTGGATGCTGCTTCTCAGACTTGAGAACATTTATTTTAGGCAGGGAAAACCCACATTAGGGCAGGAATAATGGAAGCTGCTGCCTGTCCTGCAGGAGAAAGTGATGCAGGACTGTTCAGTGTGTGTCAGAATAGATGATGTTTTAGGGCAGCCTGATTTCTGCCTTGCTTTGATTGGGTCATCTAATGAGAGGACCTAATTGTGAAGTGAGACTGGCAAATCACCTTTCTGAAGTCTCTTTTTCACTGACTATACAGTAATAAATTGACCCAGAGTCCTTCTGGACCAACATTACTTTGCAAAATATACCAATGAATTACTCAAAACCAGTTTGCACCAACTGTTTCTAAAAAAATCCCCCAAAATTTAATTATTTATTCTGAAAGGAAGCATGAGCCCAAATTTAGCTCTGTGTCAGGAAAGAAAAGTTTAAAAAAGCATCCTGAAACACAAACAAAATGTTTTGTTTTGTCTAACTGGATGTTTATTGTCCCAAACCTACTTTGACAGGAAGAATAAATTCTCATTCACTTCCACCAGCCCTCACAGCCACGGTATTTGGGATAAAACCAGAGTATTTTTCAAGTGGCATAACTGTGTCTTTACAGTGGCACAGAAAGATCTGAAGAAGGATTTACAGGAGGAGGTGTTTGGATGTATCCCCTCCCAGGAAAGTGGATTAGGAATTGAAGTGGATTCAAGGACTAGCAGGAGAAAAAACCTCTCAGAGATGTTTGTGGGGTTTGTGCACCAGTATGCAGCTCATGAAGAAGCCAAGTCAGTGACAGGAGATTTATCCAAGGCTCTGGAGGTGGCAGCCAGCCCCCAGCAGAGGTTAATAGAGACAAAGTGGATGCCAAGCTGATGGGATCAGAGGAGAAATTGCAATGTAGGGACAGCTTTATGTGGATGCTGGGGGTTAGGAAAGCCTGGCCTGATTATGGGACATTGTTTGAAGGCAGAACATCAAACCTGAGGTTGATTGTGGCACAGCCACCGCAGGCTGATACCAGCAAAGGTAATTTCTGTGCTTTTGGTTTAGCTCCTGAGCCAGCCACGTGGTGGCAGCAAGCCTCAAGGAATCCTCATCCAGGAGTTTTGGGAAGAAATTGGCTAAATATAGCAATTTTCAATATTCCAGACGTGCATATTTAGAGGGGCTGGGACTTACTGTACCATTAAAACTTCAGATTAAAACCATGAGCGCTCTGCTTGGCTGTGACAGCTCCAGGAGCCTGCATTTAATTTCATTTTCCTTGTTCCTTCTGAATCCCTAGAAAATCCTTTTTCAGGAAGAGCATTCCTGATTTGAGCTATCAGCACAGAGCATTATATAAGTTGTAAGCAGGGACAGCCATGCACCTCATAGCAGAGGTCTCACCTCCCACCAGGGCACATGGGATTTTTCACAGACAGGTTAAAACACAAATATCATAGATAAGAGTTGATTTGGGCTCCTGAACATGAACAGGATCCTCCAAAACACATCAGACAAGGACCCCTTCTCTGTACGTGCTCTCCAGGAAAAGGCCTGATAGCTTTGCAACAAATAAAATAAAATAAAATAAAATAAAATAAAATAAAATAAAATAAAAAAAATAAAAATAAAATAAAATATAAAATAAAATAAAATAAAATAAAATAAAATAAAATAAAATAAAATAAAATAAAACAAAACAAAACCTTTCCATGGACCTTTAGAAAAGACAGCCTGTTGGGTAATTTCTCCTTCAGAGATGGTCAATTTCACAAAAAATGTAAAAAAGGGACTGAACATTTCCATGGGTATGGGCCCCATCCAGGGAGGGATGCTGTAGCAAGTGACAGTAATGTTTGGGAAGAAACTTGTGTCCTTGTGGGCTTGAGCTGAAGCTGATCAATAATTTATTTTTATTTATTTTATTATTTTCCCGGCTCATGCTTGCATTGTGCTGCCTGCTATTCAGGGAGCATGAGGCTTCCCAGTTAACATTGCCTGGCCACTGGTTTGGCCTGGAAATGCCAGACCTGGCCCTGCTGAGTTGTTTGCCTGTGACTTGCCAGGACCAAGATCAGTTGGTGCTGCTCCCTCCCCTCCCCCTTGGCCATCAGCTCAGCAGTGTTTGTGCCCCAAAAATGCAGCAGAGTTGGCTTTTTTTTGTTGTCTTTATGTTGTTGCTGTGCTGATTTCTTGTACACTCTGCTAAAGCATTTTGCACCTAAGTCCAGCCCAGCAAAAAGACCACAGTTTTTTCCTCCAAGGACCATTTGTGCCAGGGATAGAGAAAGCCAGATACCTCAAATCTGGGGTCTGTGCCAGCTCTCCCTTCAGGCTGACAGAGGGTCCTGCTACAGGAGTACATTTTTCAATTGTTATTTCATTAGCATATGTTTTATAGCATCGCAGTGTCAAGGGCTATTTCTGGCTATGACTTCACACTGATGCCTTTGGAAAGCCACACAGCACAAGGAGAAGGAGGGAGGAAACAACCCAGATGATCTGTTGTTATAACTGGAGCATGTGGGAAGCATCATCCCTGCAGCCTCCACGGGGACAATCCAGTCATCAGGGGCTGATTCACGCTCTGGGCTCTGCCTGGAGAGCCACGTCCTCTGGAGCAGGGTCTGGAAGGGACCTGGGCTTGGGGAGCTGCAGAGAGGCTTTGGAGGCAGGTGGGGAACTGCCTAGTGTGAAGCAAAATGCTGAGGAATGGATGGAGGGGTGAGGCTTGTCAGAGAGACAGCTGAGTGTTCCTTCTGGCTCAGGAGGACAAATGAGTGAGAGGAGGTGTTGCTGTGGAAATGGGTGGCAGGTGGAACTGTCAGCCCTACAAAACAAGCAGGAATATTAAGGCACGGGGTGAAAGCTGACTGGGAACTGAATATAACTCCAGTCTGGCTTGCAAAGGCTTGCAGGGCTGATGGATCATGGCACAGGCTCTGAGCTCAGAGTTTGTGAACACACAATAAAAGACTGAACAGGATTTGGACATGGGGCAAGGGCTTGGGTCATATTTTGGGATTGGTTTTTGGATCATCAGTTTTCACCATGTGGATAGGAAAGATGTGTGGTCTGTAAGGGCCACCAAAGCAGCTAAGACTAGTGCTGCCTACAGAGACATGATAAGAATAAAACTAAAGAAAGTGAAACCCAAAGCATCAAAGCCCCAGTTCTGCTGAGTGCAGGTTTTTCTGGAAGTGACAGTCTGTTCTGGTGTGGGTTTTTTGATCTCTCTGCACAGTGCTGCAAAGTATATTCTGCCTGAAGTGGCCTTTTGCAGACAGCAGGGTCTCCTTCTGCACTGTTTGTGCCTTTCATAGCAGTCAGTCATGGCCAAAACCAGCACAGCCAAGAAGGTGCTGCTTTCCTGGTGGAAGCAAAGCCCTGCATCCAGGGCTGCTGGAACCCAGAGGGAGTGAAGCAAATTCCCAAATCTGCTTTCTCTCCTGCTGCCTTCAGTGTCAGCTGTGACTGGAGGAGCTGGTGAATGTGGGTTACAACATTCCTAGTCTGTGAGGAACCTGGAGCCTCCTCCCTCTGCTCTCAGCAGATGATTTTTTGCAAGGTTTCTGTGCAGACTATGTCCCTTTCTTTATTTTGTCACTCACTGGCATTTGGAGTCAGGAGAGAGAAATTTCACCACAAAAAATGTGTTGCTCCCTGTACTTCCTTCTGCCCTTCTGCTGGCAGAGCAAAGCAGTGAGAAATAATTTCTCCTCCTCTCCAGGGGGTGAAATTATTCTGCAAGCTTTGAGTGCAATCACACCATAGCAGAGTGTGGACAGTGGAAACAGCAAAAGAATTCAAAATGTAACTGAGCATGGGATACAGACTGTCTTGTAATGGACACCCTTGTCCTGGGAGAAGAATGTTGGGATGTTGGGGTGGATGCAAATCTGGCTGGGTTACCACTTAAAAAGTCAACAGGTGGTGACTGATAGACTGGTGCTGAATTATACCAGTTTTCTGATCTTGAAAATGGGAATTATTCTCTGTATCTTCAATGCCACCGTGTGGTAAAGGTAAGAAAACACTGATTACACAAAGGATGGTACTTGCAGTAGGAAGTTGGGTATAAGGGGGTCTCACAGCCTCATCAAATTTTATTTTTTTGATTAGGCAAAACACAGTCTTAGGGATGAATGTATTTGTGTGTGTTTTACTGCTGAAACAGAATGAAAATGAAAGGGAGAAGGTCAGCAGTTCAACCATTACAACTCAAACCTGATTGTTATTATTTGTGAAAAAAACCCAACAAACTCCACAAACATTGCCAACAACAAACCCCAGTGTATGATAGTAACAAAAAAAAAAAAACATGAGGAAGAAAAATGATAAATGTTTTGCAGTTCTTTACCTGCCCTGCAGTGTCATAAAGCCCCAGCAAGTGTTGTTGTCCTCCCACAGTCACGGTTACTGGAAGAGAGAAACAAGAAATGTTATTTATGCCAGTGGCCTCATTTTGATGTGTTTTAATCCCAAAATGCCAACAGACACATTAGCAGGTGTCCTCCACTGGGCATCCTGAGCCCAGCACATCTATCCAACCCAAACTGAATCACAACAAAAGCAAATCCTTTATGCCAAGATCTCATTTCTGTACAAACAGCCCAGGGTGATGAGCTGCACACACTGCTGCCACCAGGGTCCAGAGACAGGGGGACATTTGCCTGCCTCTGCAGACACCAAATGAACATCCTGGACTTGAAAGCACAGGATTCCTGCCTCCCCACCATGGGCTTTGGGGTGGGCTGGTCGTAGATCATTGGGAGGTTTTTATTATTTTATTTCTTCCAGGCTGTGGAATGATGAAGCATTCAGCAGTGGCTGGTGTTTGGTGGGTCTCACTGGAGGTGCAGCTGTCCTGCCCTGTGCCATCTCAGGTGAGGTGGCAGTGTTTAGTACCTGAGGCTGTGTGGTGGGTGATTTGAAGGACAGGAAAGAAGAGGAGCTGGAATATTTTCAGGGATGTTGACCACATTCTGTGGCAAATGAAGGAAAGCTTAGTTTGTTGCTCACATCCAGCATATTTACTCCTTTAGCAGAAATCACTATGAACTTCATTTTGAGCCCACTGACAAATTTTGACATTGACAAAAATGTTTTCTCATTGCCCCATTATTAGCTGATTCCTGTAACCAGTGTTATTTCTTATACAGGACATGATCTGGGTTAATGACATTTAGTTAACCAGTTAATCTGCTTAAATCATTACCACTCAACTGGAAAGAAAGGGGGGCAGTCCAGTTCCACCCATTAGTCAACAGGAAGCCTTCAAACATTTGCCAGGAAGGTTGCTTAAAATAATTATATTGTTGCAGCATATGGACTATTAATTTTTTTAAACATGAAGACAAGTGGCAGAGCATAGGAATGAAATTAAAACTTTGTCAGGAATGGGGGAAGAGGCTCAGACTGGTGCCCATCAGGTGATCACAACTTGCAGTTAATGAGGGCTGGGTATGAGTAATGGTTATTTTGGACAATAAAAAAAAAGAGGCTTGAAAACATCATGCAGCATCTTGCTGATTTTTTTTTCTTTGTTTGTTTGGTGATAAAATTTGTAGCAGAAAAGCAGCTACAAATTTATGGAATTTAATAGCTCCTGCACTGGGGAACAATGTCCTGTTTGAGATCTCTTGGACTGAAAGTCCCTGCCAGTGTGACTGGATAGGCTGACTATTCAGCAGCTTTATTTGCTTGCAGAGACACAGCAGTGCTGTCAGCACATAAAGAGAGCAAACTTGACATCCTGGAAGTACAAAGGCTCGGTGGGGACCAGACTTGCTGATGAGAGCAGGATGGGCTGCACTGCTGGGGCTGCCTTGGGATGTGCCCTCAGGAGGAGGTGGGGAAGGGGAGGGAGCTCCCTCTGCTCATCTCAGCTCTGCACTCTGCAGCTCCAGGGAACTCATGGACACTGGGCATGGATGCCCAAGGTGGGGAAGAAGTACAAGCGTGGGGACATGGCCACCAACACAGACAGGAGACAGTCCGGATGCCCCATCCTCTTCCTTCAACCTGACTTGAATGAAATAATTTAAAATAATCCTCCCTGGCGCTGTGGTTTGCAACTTCTTGTGGCGCAGGGAATCCCAGAATGCCCAGCAGAGGTATGAAGTGTGTAAGTTACTGGCAACACTCCTGCTTTTCTTAGCTGCCTTCTCAGAAGCAGTGGGGTTACAGGTGTCAGCGCAGCTCACCGGAGGCAGCGGGAAATTTGCTTTTTTTCCCCCACTTGCAACCTTGGCAAGCCTCCAATCCACCCTTGTGCCAAGAAATGCAGGAGCCAGACCTGCTCTGGAGGTTTTACTCTGCTCAAGGACCAGCTGTGAAGATGTACCCTTCAGCTGAAGGCAGCATTCCAGCTGCAGTGCACAGCTGGCTGAGGTGGTGTTTGGGAGCACACGCGGTCTCTGGGGCTGCAAACAGCAGTTCCCTGTCAGTCCTTGGTGGAATGTGCAGGGAGCCTGCAGAGCTCCTCCAAAGCAGGATGCTCTCAGGACAGCTGTGGGGCACATGGAGGTGCAGATTGTGACCGTGTTCACAGGGGTCTGAGGATGAGGGAAGAGATGAGGATCTGACTCCATGTTTCAGAAGGCTTGATTTATTATTTTATGATATATGTTATATTAAAACTATACTAAAAGAATAGAAGAAAGGATTTCATCAGAAGGCTGGCTAAGAATAGAATAGGAAAGAATGAGAACAAAGGTTTGTGGCTTGGGCTCTGTGTCCGAGCCAGCTGACTGTGATTGGCCACTAATTAGAAACATCCACATGAGACCAATCACAGATGCACCTGTTGCATTCCACAGCAGCAGATAATCATTGTTTACATTTTGTTCCTGAGGTCTCTCAGCTTCTCAGGAGGAAAAATCCTAAGGAAAGGATTTTTCATAAAAGATGTCTGTGACAGTGCAGATCAGCTTGACTCTGAAGAGCCATGTGGCACACATCAGTGCTGACAGGGTTATCCAGCTCTGCCTCTCCTGCTGGCTCACCCTGAGCACTGGCAGATTGGGCTGGGTCCTGCTTGCAAAGACATCTTAAAAGTGCTTAAAAAGCTTAAAAGCTGAAATTTACTCTGCTGTGAAGCTTTGCTGGCCCATCTCTTTCTTGGTAGCATCTGACTGAGAGAGCTGCACTGGCAAAAAGCCCTGGTGCAGATACAAATTGCTGGTGTATTCCAGTAATTAATATGGTTTGGAGATAAGCTGTTTGGATAGAGGATCAGTCCACCTCGAGTGTGCTGTGCTCTGCCAGAAGGATTTAACTCCTAGACTCTTATCTGTGCTTTGTGGTCCATGAAGTCACGGTGGATGTTTTGCAGCAGGTCTGTGGAGCCACACACTGAGCAGTGATTGATGGTTTGTGCAGTTGTTTGGCTCCTGGTCACCTCTGGGAAATGCTGAGGGGGAATAAAGAGATTGGTGGTGTCCTACCATTACTCTTCCCCACTCCAGGGATAAGAATTGCAAGGGCTCTTGGAAAAATACATCCTGAGTCTACCCAGCTTGCATATCACATTTAATTCTGCTTCTACATCTTGTCCCTTTTGTGTTCTGCTGTGAATTTCTGCATGGCACCAATCCTATATTTTTACTTTTTCTCTCTTTTTTTTTCTCTCTTTCTCTCCTTTCTACTTTTTTTCCTTTTTTCCCCCTCCCCCGCTTTTTCTTTTGCCCATCAAACTTTATATTTTCTTTCTTCTTGTCTATTGTTCTAGCCTCCCTCATCATCAGAGGATATTATTCCTGCCCATATCACCTCTGAATTTGCAGCTACCACCCCAGCAAAACCTCAAGTGTTATCCTTGGATTCCTGGCTCTGAATGCAGTGGGGACCAAATGGCTCCCCCTGGCAAATGAAATGATCCCTGGCTCTTGAAACAGTGATGTCCAGGTTAATATATTGGTGCTAAAATTTCCACCACACTTTCAAGCAGGCAAAACAGATGTAAAAATAAATGGCTCTTGCCTGTGAAATAAATGGCTTTTGCCTGTGAAAACTTCATGGTGTTTTTATACCACGAGTTTATCAGTCTGCCTCTGTCAGGCAAAAGTCTGTTGAGAGTATCCACTTGGTGGGTCATATTTATGAGCTGAGATTGCCCTGCTAGATTTGTAGGCCTTACTTTTGGCTTTATTCCAGTTTATTCTTACTTACCCTGTTATTATCTTTTCCTGTTCTCTCCGTGGACAGGCCTATGGGAAGCCAATGAGGAATTCCTTCCCAGCCACTGGGGTAATACAGGCTCCTTTATGGGATTGTGAACTCGACTTTATGAGCAGTCTTGGAGTAACAAGACAAATATGAACTCTCCTTGTCATTTACTGACTGTATTGATGTATTGATTAAGCACTGAAACGACCTGGCCTTTAACACTGAGTGCAGCAGAGACTGCAGTAAAGTGAGGCTGAATATTTGCACAGCCCTGGCCCTCCTTTCTCTCCAGTCTGGGTTGCACCAGATGATGCAGCAGGGCAGATGTTCCCCTCCCTTCACTAGGTGGTTTTATCCAAGTGCAGAGTGTGTAAAACACTGCTTTAAAAATGATTGCTAGGTCATAAATTAGCTGGGTATTGCTTACTAGAGTTTGAATAACTATTTTGGGTCACTTCCAAGGCTTTCTTGCAGGTCTGTGTTTCTGGGGTTCTGCTAATGGACCTCAACACAGAGCGTGGCCACCACAGCAGAAGGACAAGGTCTAGATGGATATTGTGTGGGATGGACCTGGTGTGGACCATTGTGTATGGACCATGAACAGGTCTGAGCTGGGAGCTTTGTTTAAATCCATGCTTAGTTTGTGTTTCTGGGGACAATGTGACAATTTCCACTGATGTTCTCAATGCCCAGATCCACCTGTCAGTGGCCAATCTTTGCCCAACCCTTCTCCCACTGTGCTTTGTTTGGTAACTTTTTGGGGCTGAATTGCACCCATGGAAGAGCCCTTCAGCCAGACAGCAGCAATGTTCACTGCACTGACAGGAATGGGACATAAATTGTCTGCTGAACTCTCAGAACATCTTCAGTTTGATTAATGGAGCAAAGCAACACATAAATCTCTGTATGACACCGAGCTAGGATGCAATATCTCAGCCTCACTTAGCTGTGGAACGGGAGAGTGGATTTGCACATCAGGGGGAATTTTTCCATGCCAGTGAAAAAGTGCTTGCAGAACCCAAAGACTGTGAAACCCCCAACCAGAATACACACAGGAGCCAAGCAGTGTCTAATGTGACACCAGACAGGAAAAGTAATCCATTTATTCCAGTGCATTCCTGCCAACAAATTAAGGTCCAGCTGCTTCAGAGAAAGAGCCAGGAGCCTGTGAGCCAGCAGGGATGGTGGCACCTGCCTGGGTGGAAAGACTTTCTCATGGTTTTGGGCAAATTAAACTGCTTCAAGCCTCA